AATCAGGCTAGAAACTGAAGATCAGTTTTAAGTCTAAAACTGGTCTCTGAGCTTCAAAGTTGAATAAACAGTAAATTTTTAGTGTGGGAAAAGGCTTTCCAATATATTTATTGTATATTTTAATTGTTGAAAATGCCACAAATAGATTGATCTGAAAATATGGATGCCATTGATGCAAGTAAATTCTGCTTTTGGTAAAGCTTGGAATGGTTTCTAGTGCTATAGTGGATTATATACTTATTAGTCCTTTTATGTTGAGAGACCCTGAGTCTCCAAGTAAGACTACAAAAGGCCATCCAACCAAGTAGGTTTGGTTTATTAGTTTGTGTAAGATGATGTGCAGTTTTAGTGGCAACACCAGTTTTATTGGCCCTGGTTGCTTGTTTCACATAATTAAACAGCTCCTTGGCAGTGATGCCTTCTCGGTTCCCAAGTCCTGCCAGTGTTGCATAGCTGGAAATAGCAAGAACAAAGCTAAATGCTTACCATATTTTATTACTATTTTGCCTTTTTGCATATATAGTAACTTCCCATGCAGTAGCCTTGTAAATTTCTAAACAGAGATTAATTTTATACTCAGAATGAAAAGGAGCTTCTTAAAAGCAGTTATTTTGTTCTGTAGATGCAGTTAAAACTGTGCCACAGTGCCAGATAAATACAGCCAAACTGGAGTTGGATGAAGTCACTCTCCTGCCACTTGGTGGCAATTTTGAGCTACTACATAGTGAGAGTTGGCCTCTTATTATGCTGAAATGGGTCACAGTATTAAGAAGACCTATTTAATTTGAATACAATGTAAGAATACATTGTATGCAATGTAAGAATACATTGAATACAATGTAAGTTTCAGCAATCATAACTAGATGCTTTAAAAACAGTGAGCAGTAGGTTTCATGGTTTATGTTTTTAGTCACTGGTACTCTCTTTACTGGTGTTTTGTTTAGACTGAACAGCAGCACCAACAAAAAATGGCACCACTGACTAAAAACCAAATTATGAAATCCAGTTCCCATTGTTTCTAAAGCAAGTAACCATGACTGTTGAATCTTACAGATTTTTCCTTAGCCTTCTTCACAAAGGCAAAGAAAACAAAGAATTTGTAACTGTTGAATAAATGAATTAATTAGAATAATTTGGGAATGATTGAAATAGAAAAAAATGTAAAGCAGTTGCCTTGATATACAGGTGGTTAGATCTTCAAGATCCATTCTTGAAGGGAAGATTAAAAGAAAAGTTATAATACATTGCCCACAGTAGAGGGAAACTTTGAACACAGACAAGCTTAGCTGGGATGGTGATCTGAAATGATCAGTTGCTCAGAAAACAAAGCATTTTTCAGGTTAGATTATTTTGCAGGGTAAGAGTGTTGTCTTGTCTGGCTAGGATCAGAGGTTCACAAAGAATATGGTGTAGAAGTGGGAAGAAAGCCCAGGGATTAGTGGAAATAAGGAGCAGGGACTCTGTACCAAACAGTCTAAAGAAAGAGTGCAAGGTGTGTAATGGTCTGTGAAAGAGCAACACAGAGGTAGGGCACATAAAAAATGATGCATCTCAGAGAGAGATTTTGGAGGGATAACCATGTGCTAGGGCAACTATCAAAGATGCAGCTCCTCTGAAGGTAAGTGGGGGTGTCAGTGTCCTGAACTGGGTAGCAGGAGATGTGGGAAATTCAAGAAAGGGTAAGATGACCTGAACAGTTGCATACCTAGATACTAGAAGGCATGTACACCACTGGCAGGAGGAAATTAGAAGGTCATGGAGTTCCTAGGTCTAAACTGCAGAGCCTGTGGGTGAATTCCTGGACACAGTGGCTTGAAACTCTAGCAGGCAATGAACCATCGGTGGTGGTAGGGCTGAATTACACATAGAACTGAGCCAAACAACCAGTGTTTGTCTATGGGCTTCTAGTTATATAAGGCCTTTGAAATGGATTTCATATATGCTGGAGAGATCAGTCACCAGCAATCTTGCTTGCAAGTGGAGGGAGTTCCACTTAAGTGATAACTGTAATTCATTTTAGAAAAAGATTTCGAGTAAGATAACTTGGAAAAAATATTCCAAAAAATGGAAAAGTGAACTATTACATGACGAATGTATTTCCTGAAGAATATACACATTAAGATTCTGTTTTTAATTCAGTGTTTACTTATCTACCCATGTGTAGTATAATGTACTATGTCAAAAAGGTTTTACTAAGTCCATCTTCACCAACTATGTTAGTACAGTGTTTTGTATTACTTAACAGCTATTAAATTTAATATTTAACAAGCATCACTGGAAAAATTACAGTGTTAGCCAACTATTTGGAATGGCACAGAGAGATAGGGGTATAATAATTAACTAGTCTGAAGGAGTTGTCTAATGTAATAGAATGACCCAACTTAAACAGCTTTTAAAAACTAACAAGCATAAAATCTGACATGTATTCTTTACTCTGATTTCTCACACTGATTAGCAATAGTTGTTCATGCTCTTAAAACTAGCTGTAAGGAAAGCCACAATACTCTGCAGAGTTGTTTGTCAATGCCTGGGCTTATTTTCCTAAAGAAGTATTGATTTGCAGGAAGAGAAACATTTAGTTTAACTGCAGTTGATGAGGAGCAGACAGAAAGCTGTCAGAAGTCATAGTCATTTAAATCGCTAAATATACTAACAAGTATAACACCAAATACGCTGTTATTTTTTGCTGTTAATATGATGTAGCTAAGGATGCTGGAGGACTTGGTTCAATCCACAAAAAAAGGTGGCCCACTCCCTGAACTAATGTGTGGATTGGCACAGTTATCTTAATTTCACCATTAAATATACCAGCATGCATGCTGATATGTATACGGCATACAAAAGTGTTAAATAAATAAATAAATACTTGTGTATATATAAAATATGTAGTACAGCACTACTACTGTCTCTCTAGGATCATATATAGTTTAGTTAGCAGGTTGCAATGATCTTGATTGTGTCTATTTCCTTCAGTTAGCTCTTGTTAAAGACAGTCAAAACAGTTCTTGCTTCACTGCTTGAACTGTATGTTTTTTGTGTTTTTGTGACTGTATGTACATACATTTTATGGGACTGCACTTTTTGCATACTCAGGGGCAGCATTTCAGCCAGAGCTGGAGTTGCTATAATGTAGTCTAATGTTTCAGGCTGCTCTTTGAACAAAAGACTTAAATGGGATGCCTTTAAAACATAGTCCCGAATAGTGATGTTTTCATTGAGTGTCCCCAAAGCAAGGATGGCAAATACTGGTTTTCTAGCTATCTCTTGTAATACGATAAAAAGCTGGATAAAAGGGGTGGGTAAATTCTGTAAAACAAACATGCTATATTAGTTCTCTCTATGGCAGGATCAACACTCAATATTTTTGCCTACAACTTGCATCAGCCCTAGCAAGCAGAGCCAAAACAGATGAGGGAACATGGCAGCTGTAGGCCAAAACATCTGAAGGACCATGAGTTGCTACCACTGTTGTTGAAGCTGCTGTTTGAACAGTAGAGATCATGCCACAAGGGAGCTGGTACTTGCCTAAGAGACAAAGCCCAGTTACTTATATTAAGGCTGTCTGTTTTGCAACGTTTTGTTCTCTATATTCATTATCATTATCACCTCCTCTTTCTCATCCTTCTTTTTACTTTTCAGCCCTTGAAAATTGTGCTATGAATTTCTACTAAATAGTGCATCTTTCAATCCTTGCGAAATGGCAGAATTGTGTTATGGGATGACAAGAATACATTTTAATCAGCTAATTATTTGAAATGCTATATGTCTTTTATGGAAATGTATTCCCATTTTTAAAAATCCCACTTCCAAGCAGTTATGTGTGCCTATTTTGGCATACATTCTGTATAAATCCTGTATTTTACCACAAGTGTATAGATGTTGCATTTATCCCTTAAAGCCATCCTTTGTGTCATCTCCTTATTTATCACTATCTTTATCTGTTTTCCACCTTGTGATGCTCATATTTCTTGTCTCTTGCTTACTATCATAATAAATTTATTACCCAGTCAGATTTATAGGTGTAAGGCTTGTACAAATAATGGCTTAATAGAAAGAAAGCTTAGTTATGCTATAATGAAGCCAAATACATATTTTTAGACATTTTTGCAGGTAAATCAGCATCATTAGACATACTCTTGGCAGGCTACAAATTGCACAACAATGTGATAACGGTTGGTTTAAAACAGAGTTACATATAAATGATACGCCTTGTATGATTCCCCCCACTCCTGGTACTCATAACCTTTTTATTACCATTGTACATTTGAACTTTTTGATAAATAGAAATTAAAGGCATTTCTGTTCAGGGCTGCACTGGGACCAACCTCATTAGACACAAAAATATATGAACATGTATTGCTAGATATAATAGGAGCATGCGGCTGGATTGTTCCTTATTTGTCCCTGGATTGGCTTTGTTCGTCTCGGTCTCTGTCATGATCAGGCATCGGTTTATGCCATGGGAGTTTTCCTTTGCTCTCCCTGCTCTGCCTCCTCCTGCCAAGTAGGTCCTGGGGAGTGTGAAGAAGGTGGAGCAGGAAGAGGAAAGGTGTTCCACCAGTTGTTTCTGCCAATGCTGGGTAGACTCGAATGAGTGAGAACAAAGCAGTGAAGGAAACCTAAAAGCAGAAATCACAAAAGAAGCAAACATAACAACACAACAATAGTGAAGAAAATTACATATATATCTATTCATATTTATGAGCTGCTTTTAAATGCAAGGTTGGGTCGGGATGAAACCGTTCTCATCCCCGTCATGATAGTGGATGAGGGGGTCATCCTGGCTTGTATTACTGAGACCTGGTTGTAGTCTCAATAATACAAGGCTGTCCTAGATGTGTCCACTTGGGTACTCAGTTCCGCCCCAGCTTCACCTGGGGGCCGGGCAGGGGAAGTAGCAGTAGTCCCTTCCCCTTCCCCTTCCCCTTCCCCTTCCCCTTCCCCTTCCCCTTCCCCTTCCCGTTTCCACTCTGGTGAGTTCTGTTGTTCTTTTTTTTAAGCGTGAGAAGCTGATACATGAGTTGGAGGAAGAGCGACATTTGAGACTTGAAAGTGAAAAGAAATTACGAGAGGTGACACTGGAATCTGAACGTAACAGGGTTCAAATGCGTGGATTGCAACAGCAGTTTTCAAGGTATGCTGTGCTTTTAATCTGAATTTATATTGGGTTTCTTATAAATATATTTGCTCATAAAAACTCTAAACTGCAGCTCTATGCTCATTTACTTGAAAGTAAGTTCAGTGAAGAAAATGTGGTTTGCCTCCAAGAAGCATGCAGCTGACCAGACTGGAAGGCTGAAATATGGACTGCCACTCACTTCATACTGCGCACCTGCCTAAAGTTTTATGAAGTAGCCCAGTTAGATGCAGAACAATATCAATTGTCACTTGGGGTATGGTAAAAGCGAAGAAGGGGAATTGGATATTATGGAACATACTCCTGTTCTTGATAAAAGCGACCATTAGAAAAGCTGATGACATTTTTACTGTAGGTTCACTTCATGTGTCACAATGTATAGGGTCAGACTCCCATGTTTGACATGTTCCTGATGGGACACTATACTCTGTACAAGCCTACCTTAAGTTTTGTACAACTGTATACAAGACTATAATAATATAGTGCAGTGCAATATAATATAATATAAATTTATTTATTTTGGCTGTTCTTTCATACCTACTCCTAGAAGAAAACATGCTAAGGACTTCCTAAAGCTACAGTATCAGTCCTTCTCAGTAGTAAGATTCAGAAATGAAAAGTGTCTTATGTTTTCTCTGATGCTATGTTTTCTAGTAAAGGATATTCCTTAAAATGAGCACATCAAGAGGAAATTCCATTTGCACTTCCAATGTGATTTGACATGTCTTACAATACTCCCTGCATTTTGCTCTTTTACTTAGTTTACTTGGTTAGTTTGTGCACCGAACCAGCCTTCTTTATCGTTTCCATCATTTGGCATCACCATTCTTCATGCTCTGGAGAAGTAACATCTGCAGTGGGCAGTCTGCTTTATCCAGTGATCAGACAGGTTTCTAAGTTGTTCAGGGAGCCTGAATACGGAGAACAGTCTCTCTACTGCAGACATTTGCCCTCTGCCATTCATGTGGAAGTGAATACTGAACACGAGAGAGATGGGGGAATAATAACTATAGTCTCACTTTTCTATCTCATGCAATTTAATTGCATGGGAAATAATTTATATAGATAACTTTTAATCTGATTTCTCATCAGTATAAAGACAGTCTTAGCTGGTCAACTTTCTGTAGAAATGGACAAGGTAGTCCATTGTTGTGGTCATCCTGAACTTCTTAATGGATTTCTGCACTGTTTTTCATGACATCCTTCTGAGCTTCCTTGCTGGGATGAGACTGGAACATACCATTTTGCAGTAGTTCCAGTTGTCTTGGAGAACTGATCTCAGAAAACAATTCTGGAAGACTGTTGTTTCTACCCTTTAGCTTGCAGACTACTGATGGATTCTTTCTTGTGTCAAATACCATTTAATGTTTCTCTGAAACCACCAGAAGAGGTTTTATGGACAATTGGATTATATAATCTAAGAGAGGTAAAAAGGTCATCAACTCGGAGTAGCACCTTCTCTGCTGTGGCGCCCAGACTCTGGAATGTACTCCCCAGAGAGGTATGTCTGGTGCCAAGTTTATACTCTTTTCGTCACCAGGCTAAAACCTTTTTATTTAAACTGTCCTGTGTAAGCCATTCTGAGGCTCTTGCAAAGGACAGAATACAAATATCCTAAATAAATAAACAAACAGTATTTTAAAATTTAATAGTTTTTAAGTTTAGTCGCTCTGTTTGTTTTGTGATTTATTGTTTTGTTCTGTTTTATTATTTATTGAAATTGTTGTTTTAATTGTCTTTTTGAATATTGTAAGCCATCCTGAGATCTTGTATAATAGAATGGCATACAAAAGCTTTTAATGATGAGGATGATGATGATGATGAGGATGATATATTATCATGAGTATCTTGATTACATTCAACACCTCCTTTCATTTATGCCAATCTCAGTTAGGTGTAGGTACTAGCACTTGGCATCAGTGATGGGTTGGCTTAGGGAAAACAAACTGAAGATGAAAATACTGTTACAGAACATCTCTGGTCAGGGATTTTTCAGCCTGGGGATAATCTCAGGACCATCAGTGCATCCAAATTTATTGGCATTGGTGCTAGCCAAGAGGGCATTTTACCAGCTTACGTTAATTTACCAACTGCAATCTTCCAGGAGAGGAATATCATAGCAATGAAGATTCATGCCCTACTTGCATCCTAATAAGTCTGCATGGAGCTCTGTGTGGGGAAGTTTTAGTATTGGGAAATATCAACTGGTTCAGAATACAGTTGTATCCAATATGTGCCTTCTGCAATGCTGATCAGTGAAGCCTATTTGGAATATATCAAGCTAACTGTGCAACAGTTTAGTTGGCTTTATCTTTCATCATTTAGATCCTAAAATAATTTTCCTTTGAGATTGCTTTTTACCCATATGAGCTCATCTAAATCTTTGTTAAGAGACATTGCTTTATGTAGCTCTGCCATCTGAGGTGTGGGTGGTGGCAACATAGGAATGGGCATTCTCTGTGGGAGTTCCAAGTTCCGGAATGCACTATGTAGGGTTGTTCCTTATTTGTCCCTTGGTAGACGGCAAACCATTTCAAAGGCTTTTCAGAGAGACTTGTGGTATTCCAACAATTCTTTTATTGTAAGTGGCCTCTACTTTTTATTGGGGCTATAACCCTCACCATTAAGTTGGATAAGTGCAGTAAAAGTATTTTATTCAGCTAAAAAGGGATCCCTATCTAATTGAACAACATACTGTTTTAAAAAGTTAAATAACAGAAGTACTTATAAAACTGAAGACGGTAAGCATTGTCTTCTGTGATGATTCCTGCTGAGTTATACTGAATTCAAAATGAAAATGCATTCTCAAAGGTGCAAATTAATTTTTAAACAAACCCATCATACTTCTGAATGAAGAGCTCCTTTGTTGAAGCATTCTACAGAAAAATAGATCAGCTAAATATTAAATTTGAAATCAACACTGGCTGCCACTCAGATCAGAAAACAAACTCAGAGACACACAAAGGTGTTGCTTCAGTGAGTATGGAGGGAAGAAGGATGGAGAAGCAGAATACAAGTTATCCTGAGGCCTTTCCAAACTCCTTTGAATCTGCTCGAAAGCTTTCTCTAGATGGCTAAAAAAGTCAATCTAGAAAAACATAGGGCAAAAGAATGAGGAGGTAATGATTGCCAACACTGCCTCTTTTGTCCTGTATGGGAGACTCATTTGACACCTTTTAAGCATTAGGGATGTGATCTTATGGTGTTTTGCCTTGGAAAGGCAGCCTGTGTGGTTCTTTCTGAGTTGCTCTGCTTCTTAGTTTCAAGGGCAGAGCTCTGTTTCTGACTGTGGAGGTGGGAATCTGAAATACCATGCAGCCGCTCAGATGCTGTCTAGGGGCCACTGAATTTCCCCCTTTATAAAGAAGATCTTTACATGAAAGTTTAAATTAATCAGGGCACAATCCTTTGTATGTTTAAACAGAAAGAGTCCTGTAAGTCCCAGCATTCAGAAGTGATCCATGAAAGTTACATGACTATTCTCTAAAATGCTGAAATAGTAAAGGGTGAAATATCTTTCTATGCCTAAATCCAATTTCAGCTGTTTGGTGCATGCAACCTCCAAAAAGTGGTAGCTTACAAGCATTCATACCTCATACCATGTCATACCATGACACTCTGTGGAAGGGGAGGATGCTCTTTGGATTTGGCATCAGTCATTGGCCCTGATTTCTTATCCTCACCACCCCACAGCACACCCCTTTAGGTCAGTTTCTGAAATCAGACATGCAGTTGGTGCAGTTCTTTCCATGCCGGTGGAGGGTGGAGGGCTCTGTATTTGCAGTCCCAGCTCCAGGTGTGGAACACCTCAGAGCTGGGACTCAGAAAAATCGTGTACGTCCACCTCTCCCAATGCCCTTAAGGACTTAATCCCTTATACAAATAGAAATTTTTGTGCAACAAAATAGAATTTGAAAAATTCACTGGTAAGGAAAGAAGAACATGTAAGAACATGCTCTCCTTTGCATTCAGTTTGATTTTGGTGCTTTCATCCTAGGGTTCATCGCCTTGGGATATAGGCTCAACCTAAAAATAAAGCTTGTATTTTTTTTTTTTTAAAGAACAGTAGTTTTCATTCTATGAATCGATGTGCTCCTTTAACTGATCTGGTAATGGTCCTTCGATCAAGTGAAAGTTTTACATATAATTAATTATTAAAATTGTATTTATTGGGATTTTATATGATGTTATGAAACTTTTTGGAATATTTTGGAGGTTTCTGTGTTTAAATGTAGCCTAACAGTATTTTAATAAAATCAATAGGAATTAGATTATCTGTACCCAACACTTCTGGCTTTCACCTGACATTAACAGAAAAAGAAAGAAGAAAACCCACTGGTGCATATATTTGCCATCTTGTATGTTTTTGTTTCTAAGATATACTTACTTTTGGGCACGTACTGCAAGAACTATATTAACTCAAAACAAAAGTCTTGGACACATTTTTAGAGTGCATTCAGTTCATCTTCAGCAGCACCCATGTTGCATAATAAGCCAGAATACATTCATGAGCTTCTTGCATGATCTTTTGTTCCTGGTTTTCCTTCTCCCTGCATGTGAACAACAGAATGAACAGGCAAGCAATCCACAGCTAATCATAGTTTATTGTTATGATTGAACTGCGAGAATATAGAAGGCAATTTTAAATAATGGTTTCATGTTCTGGCCTGTTTAGAACTCTTTAACCATAGTTTTCAAGGGTAAACATAGCGGGAAACTGTGGTTGCTTGTGACTTCTTAGCTTGCTTCCCTGCTTGTATGAGAAGAGGAGTGAAAGGGAAGTAAAGGAGTTCTATCTGGTTTGAACCTTCAACTTGGTTTCAGTCAGGATTTGAGTGTTTGAACCAGGTCTATACAGTGTGAAAGCATTCAAAAAAGCTATCAGTTCTTCTTGTCCTGATTAGACTGCAAAGCTGTCTGTTCATTATCATATCAGTTTAACTCAGTTTTAGAGCACAGGTCCTCTTGAATAAATATGTAACTCTTGAAGCTCCAGG